GGAATTCTAGGAGAGGTCTCGCCACCCTCAAAGAGTTTTACAAGATAATATTTATTTAACTGCCTTCCCTAGTTTCCTTCTCTCTACCAGTCAGAAGGGAACATACATTGAACGCACCTTCAGGAACCATCGATGGTTTTCGGGATCACTTGGTGTGAAGCCCGTCACTCCTACCATATTGCACTTGATCTCAAGAGCTAAAACTGGCTGAAAAACAATGAAGTAAAACCTCCCATAATCAGCAAATTGTTATGAATGCTCACGAAAAACTGGTTGAACGCTCACCATATTGACGAGAGAGACAGCAAAATGTAGCACACCTTAAACTTCTGCTTCTAGGCATGAGAAAAAACAAGATATAACTTCCATATCGAATAACAGTGCACTGAAGGAACGATCGTGACAACGAAAGCACCAAACAGAATCATTTTCAGCAAACTACAGAGCATGCCCGTGAAAAATTTATTCGAAACATGAACAAAATACAACAATCTAAACCGATCTCAATTTAAAAAAAGGCACCCGTAAGAATTTCATTCGTAAAAGGAACGTAATCTGGTGAACATCGAGGATAATTGATAACAACCTGTACAATTTTGAGCAAAACTTTTAAATTATATAAAATTTTCGAAATCTTATAAAGGCCGAGGGCCAGTAATGAAGATCTACTCTGCAATATATTGACTATAACTACCGGAAGCACTCCTCATTTTGACAAACAATTGCCTCAGGACTTGCGCCTCAGCGCACCGGTGTATTTTTGAAACCGTGAGAATTCGGCATCGTTCATGAATACATCGAACACCAGATGTGAACCTGCCGGATTTGGCTCTCGAGATACGAATCCTTCCCTTAATGGTTGGTGATAATGAGCCAGAGGGAAATCTTCAGTTATCCGGAAAAGTTCCGGGAATGTTTGAGGACTTCAGGTAAAATTTCTCGAAGAAAAGGTCTGCTTATTAATCTTTCTAGAGGTTTCGTTCTCCTACTTTCGTGGAAGGGTAAAGACTCAGAAAAACAAAAAAACTAATCTAGGTGGATTTCGCAGCCCTTCAAGCAATCGAACGATATCTTAGGAAAAGGATTCCACAAGGATGTGATCAAATGCTAGTCTGATGGCGTTATTCCCGGCTATATGAGAAATTCGGTAAGATGTCCCATCCAAACTCCAGTTATTCTTGACGACGGTCAAAGTTACGTGCGGTTTGGCGTTGCCCTCAAGGAAAAACCACGCCTTTACGATTGGCTCTTTCTGGTCGCCTCTGTTCTATGGTTGCCTTCAAATCAAGCTGAAAGCAGTACCTTCCAGAAGTGATAGTTTGGCTGTGCTGTGACAGCTCCGAAGAGGTAATTCCTTTCATATCTCCCAGCTGAAGGGCGTCTTTAGCGCAGGGAGTCCGGTATTGAAGTAATTAATGGCGGGTCGCTGAGATTACTACCCGATCGTCTTCACTCCACGTTGTGTGTGTACACAATCACTTTTCGTCTTCGGCTACCATGCAAATCGGAAAGTGCTTAATTTCGCTACGTTCAAGTGACGGATCGCACCCGGACACTCGGTACGACAGACTGCGCNTTTGCAAACCACTCAAGTACTGTGCTTTCTGATGGTGCAATGTCTCCTCAGCTATCACAAGTCTTTTTCGCAGTTTCAGCTGCAGTTTTTTCAGTCTGAGAAAAGTCTCAAGCACCGAAAATGCTCTCGATGCTGCTTCTACTTCATATTTAACTCTCAATTCTTCCTTATGATGCAGTATATACTTTTCTTTCTTTCTGGATTTGTGAGTAGATTGCGCTTCTGACTTGCTCACCTAGAGAGCTACCCATGAACGAGAAAATCTTCACGAGCCGAGCTGATAGCGTCATATCCGCATGATTAAAGGCAATGGTTTCTTAGATTCCCTTTAGGATTACCCAGTGGCCCCCAAGGGTAACAAAGAGGACGCCATCGGGTCCAAAAACTCAAGAGCTAAGGCATAATAGAAGCCCCATTGCCGGATCAGTCGAATGTCATGCCCATCGACTGATGTTATGTTGGACGGGCGTAAAACCGGTACAGATAGCAATATTCGCGCCTGGACCCCACGTTCGGCACGCAATCAGCTGATCGCGTATGATAAGACGACTTTTTACTCCTATTCTCGTTTTCGTTTACTGCGGTCAGCTAGTCGCACCAGGACCCACAGTACGCAATGACACACATTGTAAAGCTCGTCCAAACACTCCTACTTCATTTTTCTAGTCTTATTCTCGTCTAGCTCCTTTTTAACTGATTCTTCGAAGCCCTCTATCACTTTGAAAACACCAATTCGCGTGCTTTATTCGCCTTCATCGCAATTTGTCCACCTTCTCTTTCACTTCTCATCATATACTGGTAACCCAAAATTATCGTGAACAGCGCTTTCAAAGATTACGCTCAAAGATCTAATATGCAGATACTCCTTCTGTCCACCCCTTACTCTTCTACAACGAAATCGCTTAACTACAAACACTTACTTGTACAGGTATGCAATGGCAGGAGACGAACACTTCAGAGATAATCTTCGAAGTTTACAGCCAGTTGCCCGGAGAACGAACTGAAAGAAGCTACGATGAATCAAGAGCACAAGCAACGAATCTGATAGTGAGGCATAAACAAAAAGCGCAGTGCTCAGTGGTGATCACGATAAACTCAAGCAAAACAGTTACACGCCTGTTATTGACTATCTGCAGCCCTCACCCACTCTGACGAACACCGTATGCAATCTCATAAACGAAAAGTTTCCTTGCTCGTATCCGAACCAAGGAAGAGTCGCCTCAATCCAGATAGGGAAATACAGGAGCTCTGCCCGAAACATGACAGATTTGCTCCATGTGAGCAGCTCTTTTCGCTCAATACATGTAATGCCGGCGGAGCCGGATTCTAGTTATTCGTCTAAGAGGAGACTGCTTAACAATCTTCTGCATTATTGTGAGCAGTAACACTCCCTGATCTTTCCTGCTATACCTAAATCATCTTCATTGCAACCTATACACTCTCATTCGAAATACGTGCCACCTTCCTTCATTTCCTTCAAAATCTTTTAAAAAAAAATTCCTTGGGACAACCTAGGAGCGCTGAGGAGCCCCGCCCTCAGAACCTTCACTCATGGAAAGAACCACCCATATTCCTATGGACACATGTTTCAATTAGGTGCAGAAAGATTTTTTGGAAAGAAGGTTTTTTGAAACTGGTCCCGAGTCGAAAAACTTTTTAAATAATTTGAATATCAGAAAGGTGCTCACTAGAAAGATTAAGAAACTTCTCTCATGCTTTGACGAATCAGTGACGGCTTCTGCCCGGAAGTCAGCGAGCTGCGACTCAAAGAAGTCTTCGATTTGTATTTTCAAATCATCATAAGTTACGATTTCTTCCATCAAAATAATGCTCGACCATACAGACCAAATGTAACCAAGAAACACAACGTATGGGGACATGGTTGTTTACCAATTTAGTACCACATGGGTCCAAGGCTTGTCAGAGGTTTCCGAAGCGAAATTTCGACTTGCGTTGTCGTGCTGAGGGTACGCGTTCTATCATTTTTTCATTAAAGGCAGAAATTCGAGAGATTTATCTCCTTGCACAATGATCATAGTCGATTTTCACCTACCTGACTTCAACCACTAGCATATGTGATCTTCTACTTACCCCCTTTGAACAGGAGAGGTGTTGCAGTAGCTTGGACGGCCTTGGGCGACAGCTAAGCCTGGTGTTCCACTCTTGCCCTTCCAGGTAATGGAATTACCCCTTTTCCCTTAAAAATTCATTCAATGATTCCCTGTCGCTCTGGATGCCCCCACTCAACTGTCAAACTACAGTGACGTAGTTTCCTCCCGACCTGCGCTATGCAAAATGATCAATTTTTTCCAATATTTTATTTCCTTTATATTTCTTTCCACCATTATTTCTTTTCGCTTTTTTGCTGTCTTTTCAGAACCTGCGTACAGATTCAACGTATCTGATGATTCTACTTTTCTGTAATTTTTTTTTTTGAAATTCGTAAAGCTAGATTCGCAGCTGATTTTCAAAGGCCCAGGCCTTTCTGTTCCCAGTACCGCTTGCATGCTGAATTTGCGTAAGAAACACCATTTTCATAGCGCACCCCATAGAGCAAGCATGTCTCGTTCGGCCTAGGCTAGCTGAACCCCAATGAGTAAGATCACTGCTGTCCAATACCCCTTTCACACCAGCTTTCTCAATGACCCGATCGTTCACTAGAGCTCAAATAAACAAGAGATTCGAAGATCGCTAAAGGCGCACAGCATCTGATTTCCCCTGAAGTGTACATAGAGACAGAGACACATAGTTTCTTACATCTAATTTGCTCTTGTCGTGCACATCTCTTGCAAGCACTGTTTTACCTATCAAGTGGTCGGGAAGTTCCTCCACCACTCACTTCTCCACAACGAAAAATTCTTGAGAAAACTTGCTGGAGCCTTTTGAGAAAACATAGATGGGAGATGGGATATGCTCTTATTGGGGCTATTTGGTCTTGTCATTGCGCTACTCTTGTGGCTTTAGAGAAGCCGACAATTATAGTGTATATAACTAGGGAATGTTAACGATATTCGAAAGGTTCAAAGCTTTTTCCAAAACGAGATACCTTTTTGAAAAAACTAATATTTAGTCACTTGATCGGTTACTTCTGTCACATCCCCGATCATATTGTTTGAAAGATAATAGGGGGTCATCAATTTTTCCTCCGAAAATCTACATCACAATCGTCTACAGTTTCTAGAGTGCTGCTTTGCTTAAAAGCACTGGCTGCTTTCATAGTCCGCCGACCGGCCCGCTAGCGCGCGAGGGGGACTACTCGGCCTGCGGTATCGGTCAAGATTCAGTTGTAAACAAAAAGCGCCGCCCCCCGCTCGCGGACTATGGATGTAGCCACTCATCGCAGCAGTGAATGACCGCTCAAATTAAACCCTTCTCGGAAATCTTTATCTTTTTTTTGTGAATGATCAATATCAAGAGAAGTTCGTTAAGAAAAAATTGTTCCAAATTCACTTACTTCGTCTACTTTTGCTATCAGATTCTCAACCCCTTCAGAGGTTTTGCACGAAATCCTCAACGCGCTTGGAGCAGATGTACGCGGTGCTCCATTAACGTCGATCTAGAAGTATAATTCAACACGTTATAATAATGAGAAACTTTCACGAGCAATAAATTACAGGGCCGACTTAGAAAAAAAGGCATTCTGAACTCATCTAAACACCTGAACGACTTTAAACTGGTTCACAGCGCGTTTAATGAGATGAACTAGCTTTCCCTAAAGTTACTAAAAAATGTTGTCCTACCTTATTATCAACCATGATGACATCATTCAAGCGATTCGGAGGCAAACCGATTTCTTTCAAGGTGTTGTCCACGTCTTCGCTCTGCGCTGGCCAATCCGGGTTTGAAATATCACGAATGTGAATTATGACATCCTGAAACCATGTCAATAATACCAACGTATTTCGAAAACTTATATCCCAATATAAACAACAAACGTACAGCTAAGACAACATGGGAAAGAGTAGCCTGGAAAGCAGCAAGGAGGTGGATTGGTAAGTCACTTAGGAATCCAATGGTGTCCGTGAACACTACTTTGCGACCCGACGGGAGCCTGAATATTCTGATTAATACGACAAAAAAAGATAAGGACTTTTCGGAATTCATCGGAAGTACAAGAACTGCTACCAACACATTTCGCTGCAACGCCTCAACTCTTCGAAATAGGACCGCCAACTGAGGACTTTTTCGTTTTTGTTTATCATTTTTGCGCCTCATTGACGTATCCAATGATTTTTGTTGTTTATTCTTGAATCAACGAATGTACGAACTGTGATTCAATGGGTAAGTCGTAGGGACCCGATAAGAGATGCATGTTTATTTATTACCTGGCGGCGCTTTGACACTAGGCTGTTGCTTCCCTCTAAAAATGTTAATGGGGTTGACGTTATACATGACTCAAATCCAAGAAAAAATCCGGGTTTTGTATAAGATAAAGTCTTTTGGCGCATGTTAACTCCGTTCTTTTTTTGAGCATGAAGAACATGCAAAAAGAAAAAGGATAAAGTCGGACCTGCAACTAAATTCCATGAGCGGAAAATTGCAAGAGAAAGGCATGACGTAGTAAGTAAGGTGTAAGCAAAGAAAATCTCAAATTAACTGTGAAAAAAAGAGCAAAAAAAGGAAGCATAAGGAAAACATGAATACCACTAAAACAAACAAATCTTTTCCACCGGTAAAGTGTAAGATAGAAAAACATAATGGAGTGCAGTACTAGAACGCTTCCAATAACTGAAAACGGTGACTAGGACAATCAGCTGATCGACTATTTGGCAGGTGCTCTTGCTATGCAGTCACTCCCTTATTGGGTATTATTAAGAAGTTTATCGAATATCTACGTCGTATTTTCAGAGGCCACGAAACCGGGCCAGCAAGAAGTGCGGGAACGATTTTACCGTAACGAAGTCAGCCAGACATAGCCCTTATCTCAAAACTGCCACTGACCACATTTTGTTACGAAAAAAGAATGAGGTTGAAGCTACTGAAATTGTTGTAAGCTGCGGAGTCCTCTTGTTTTAGGTGGAGGTGTTCTAGTGACAAGGGTCACCATGCTTCATTCTTGCAGTGCGTGCTTCTCACCCATAGAACCTAAAACTCAAGTATGACAACTCTGCTGAATTGGAAGACTGAGCGCAAATTACAGAAAACATTGGAAAGAGTCTTCGCCGGCTCCACGAATATTCACATTTGCTTAGTACATATAACTGCAAGAATCTGGATGAAAGTCATAAGCAAAATCATCCCCAATAGGTTAAACTATTGAGTAGTTCAACACCAAACTACATGTATGTTGAATGGTTTATTAGAACGTTCCAACGAAAAGCGATCTCATTGGTAAAACTAAACTTTCGTATACGTTTTCATCCAATCAAACCCCCTCGTACTCACAAGTTTTGAGGTGAGCTCACATTGCTTAGACATATATAACAGATAGAAACCGTTAGCTTACCTGGCCAAATGCCTCGTAGTGTCTAGAGTAGCAAATAGCCGATCTTTAGGATCCAAACTTGCGGCTCCAGTGAGACATTTCACCAGACTAGTTTTACCAGAGTTCGTATACCTTGAAATGGGAAGATCCTCATTCGACAGTGGAACAAAAAAGGGAAGAATGGTAAATAAAAAAAGAGGTATAATTTTTTTAAACCATCATATTATAGTACACCCACAAACGTCCGTGCGCAAAGACAAAGTTCACAATACGAATGTGGGCTAAATGGCTAGATGGAAGCTCATTAGAGATCATTGTTATCAACAATACAACTTACCCTACAACAGCGACCATTGCCGCATCTCGTGTTTCTTCCATGGCTTTTCCAGTGTTTTTATCCATTACTGCTTGTAATTTTTTTCGGAGACTTTGTTCGCGTAGGCGTAGCACTTCGAATTCATCGACGCTAAAACACCAGAAACTTAAAAGAGAGGTCAAGGGGTAGTATCGTTATGATGGGACCAGGTGCACTTCGTGTACAAAACTGATAACCGTTACTAATTCACGTATGGACGTCATTTTTTTCGTGCGTACGCCTACGAGAACGAAAAAAGCAGTCACACTTTTCCTACGTGAGCTCTCAGAGGACGGCACGCCAACAATTTTCACACGGACATAAAGGGAGATTCGGGATGGCGATGATCATGACAGTGATGCATTATTGATGGAACCACAAGGGATGATCGCGTTTGACCGAGCAGCTACGGACGCTCCTCTCAAGGGTTATTCTCACCGAAACTCACCCAATTCCACCCAAAAAAAATATAGTCGGCAGTGCAACAGTTATGCACCCACCTGGCTCGTTCTGGTTGACGCTCAATGTGTAGCATACCAGGGTCGGAGTGATATTTATTAACATAATGTAAGCGATTTCTGAATGGTGAGCATTCTTGATGACTAAGTATTATCGAACAGCATCGTATCGGAATCATACCTGATGTAAGGTATTTCAGCAAGCTGGATTTGGAGATGCGCCTCGGGTGTTTTAGCATAGTGCTTGAATATCGAAAGAACGATGTTATACCGATCATAAATAGGGACATGGAATATGTTGTAAAGCTCTCTCTGAAAAAAAGGATACATTTCGAAAACGTATTCGATACTAATAATGAAGCTTAGAAAAATCAGAAAAGCCATGCAGCTAACACCAGAGACCAGACGCAGACAAATGGAAGCAAAAGGAATGTAAAGAAAGGAACTTGCATAACAAAATCAGAGCACAGAATGAAAAAAAAAACTAAAAAATTACCGAAGACTACTTCCGATTATAAATCCTAATCAATGTTTGTCCACTGACTTTGGTGTTTCGAAGCAAGACCTGTTTTCTCGAAATTATGAGCTTCTCATTATAAAGGAGTGAGTTTTCCATATTTAGAAAACGTGGTCTTCGAGAGATGGTGCCGTGGCTCTATTTCCAAAGCCTTGATATTGGAAATATGCAAAAATGCAAAATTGAATTCCCTCATCTCCCGACTTCCGAAACAAACTCAACGAGAACGCCCATAACGAAACACATATGAGGCGAGGCACTTATTCGGTAAGCGAAAAGTAGTTTTCTAGTAGAAAATGTTATAGGAAAGGTTGAAAGTAGTGCTCCTACCGACCTGCTGTACAGGAGAAAGCATGTCGACGTTAACCATAAGTGCTGTGACTCGCGATTTTGCCTTCATATTTACAAGCACCTCGAGCTGACCGGTGCCCCAGACTCCCTTCCGCTTCGTGTTATAGTCCACTCCCATCACAGCTGATCTGAACTGGAAAAAGGTAAGTAGCCTCTTTCCACAACGGGACCGAAAGTGCTTCTCTTGCAGAGAAACTATGCGAATTCTAATACATTGCGGCTTGGTACTGGTCACTGATCAACAACAATGACCTTAATAGCGTGTAGCCTTCCTGAAGTACCTCTCGATCAGCCCAGAAAGCGACAACTACTAAATTCAAGTCAAGCGCAGTTTGAAGGCTCAAATAAAAACTGGCATTAGGTTGATGCAAATATCAAGAGATAAAAATTCACATTTGTTGTCTACCCTCTATAAACGCCAGGGTCGTCATCGCACCATCTACAAGAAGTCTCAGTCTCTCACAGTTACCGTCAGTAAAATCTAATAAATATATCGCAACGGTCGAGACGAGCGCGGCCGGGTTGCTCATCTTCACTCCTACTCAGGAGTTTCTGCAGGACCTGATGACAGAAGATGAGAACTGGACCTTCCAGAACAACAACAAAAAGGCGCTGTCTGACTCCTAAAAGGAAAAGGCAACCCTGCACATAAGAAAGTTTTATTGTTCTGCTTTTCGGACCGAAGGGGTGCTAGGGTATCATGTGTCATCAAGGTCAAACAGCCACGGCAGCCATCCATAGTACTAGCTTCACGAACTTGCTCATGTAATCAAAGAAAAACGACGGAAAAGTGGATATGATAGCGCTCGCTCTTAGGTCACAAAAAACTAAGTCAGGCACCGTTCTCCACCCTCCGTTATTACCT